GGGACGCCCTTCAGTTGTAACTCTTATATAGTGAAAACGCTGTATTCAACGCTGTATGAAATACTCGATTTTAGAACTTCTAGGAAAATGCCTGTAACTTTTTTAATGCAAGGTCATACAGAGTTGTGCGAGATCTTATTTTGATCAGAAACGTTTGATCTACAAAGCTGTGTGTTTAGAAAAATTTTAGTTGCATAAGTATCCAGGAAGAAACCATTATTTGAAGATCCGTTTTTTTGAGGCTCTTCGAACATTTACTCAAAATCCCGGAAAAACCAGTTTTGTAACCAAAAGCAATACAGATTCTGGAAGTAGACACTTCAGACTATCTTTCCATGTGCGTATCTCAAAACCGATTTTTTGACTGAAACTCACCATTTCTGAGGGGGAGAGGGGCAGGACCCTTAAGATCATTACTGAATCAAGGACTGGATCAAATATTCGAGAGAAATACATAAACTAGATAAGGTATTCGTACAGCCACGATTACTTACCATAACCGACCAGGCGAAATGGAACAAGAAAGATACGACAAGGATGAACGCACTAACAACCAGTAGTAGCGATGATGGCGCCTTATGGCAGCAATGATCCATTATATTCCAATAGCCCACCTATATATGAACCTATATATGACTCAGGCGGAACAGAGATTCTCAATCGAATTGATTAATTGATTATTGGAGCTTCATGCATGTTTCTTGTATTTGTTTCAGCCATAACAACTTCTGTCAGTAAACATTCGTTGCACGATAAAAGAGAAAGGAAGAAAATTAAAAAATGCGATACTCTGTATGGAAGAAATGTTGGAAAGAGTATAACACTGATGGGGAACAAAAATTCCAACATACCGTCGTTAACGGATGTGAGTCAGAATGGCCATGCCGATGCTAATGATTATACGCGCTGTGAACAATTTTATCGAGCTTGCCAGACTGGTGATTTAAACAAGGTTCGCGAACTCCTACCGTCATTGTCAGTTACTCGCGTAAATTTGATCAGGTATCAGGGGAAGTCTGCGCTTGACATAGCCGCTGTAAATGGCCATAACAACGTTGTTCAATATTTACTCGACTATGATTACTTTCGTCGACCTCTCACAGATCCGATCAATGAACGTCGCGAAGAATTAATCAGTTTCCTCATTAAACGGCTTTTTGATCCGAATGGCCGTTTCATCGAGCGCAATCTTAACGATTGTCTTAACTTTCGACCCAGTTTCGAGAACGTACGCGAACATACGACACGTGACCATGCCCAAGCATCCCAACTACTGCTGCGACTGGCAAATGCACCACGGCTTCTGCGTCCATTGATTAGTCTGACAGTGAAACGACAGTGTGTTGACAATTTGACGCAAATCATTGATATCACACGCCGCAAGTACGGTGACCAACGCTGCAAAGAGATGAGCGAGTTGTATGAGAGGTTTCGTGAGCATAACAATGTGAATTCACTCATTGAGCTTTATACTTTGACGACACCTCCAATGTCTACTGTTCTGCGGAGCAACTCGGGTAGCTACACAGCGTTGATCTATCTCAATTTGCGCAGGTTGCGCGATCGTTCATTCAATGGTATTTCATACCGTGGCCTGGCTGAATCTCCGCTAAATTTAGATCACTATCGGTCGGCTATGGAATATGAACATGTCGTTGAGTTAAACAATTTAATATCGACGTCTAAGTTACCTGAAATTGCTGACATCTATAGTGAAGGCGAAGTGCATAATGCGCATTTAATGATAATGAAGTTTGATTTCACGGAAAGTCCATGTCCCACAGCCTTTGATCTAACAAAAGACCCATGCATCTCACACATGCCCGACGAAGAAGAAGTACTCGTGCTACCGCACACACTATTCCGTGTGACCAAGATAGAGTCTACATCGCCAACGCAAGGCAATCCGTACGAACGATTTACGATCACATTCAAATATGTGCCGATGACTGGCGGACGTACTCTGAACTCGTTCATTTGGGAGCGATCTCGTTTAGAATGATTGAATAGCGGAAATTTCATTGAGTTTTGAGGATGTTCCAAAACTGATCTCGCTGCGATATGTTCAAATATTTTTCGAAAAATCGATTACTTGAAACTGTATTCACTTATCGAGGAAGACACTTCAACTGTCGAACTACTTCTGTTTGACTGATACGTAATTGACGGTGCTGGACACGCTCCTTCTTTTCGCTGCTAGTCGGATGTTTGTTTATCAGTACTGAGGTGGTCTATTGTGTGCATTATCGCTCACGCATTGCCGTGTGCTGCACTACTTTCTCTCTCTTACCATTGTTGCGTGTCTAAACGTCCTAGATTTTCGTTCTACATATATGCCAGATAGAAAACAGAATGCATATATCTAATCAGCCATATAGACATTAGTTGAATTTTTGTTCAACGGAAAGAGAGAAAGAAAACTTAAAAAAAATTATCATCGGTGGCCATTTTTGGCAGCTGTTATTGACAGGTCACTTACTATTACACTAGCAATTTTCGCTTGTTGAACAGTCAAAATGCTGTCATGGGTCTATTCCTCTTTCTTTTGCTCTATATTTACTCAATGGAAGTTCTTTTCTTTTTCTTCTTTTTACAAATAAAGCTTAAACTGACAGGTCACTTCTAACTACGTTTGGTAGGAATTACAGCTTTCTCGGAACTTTGATTTCAGAGTTATGAATGCTGTTTTGGGGGCCGCTCAAGCAAAATTTGAGGGTCAAAAAACTAAAAAGAAAAAGTAAAAATTCTATAACTCTGCCAATATGAGCGATATGACTGTGATTTTTTCACAGATAGCAGAGATGCGAGAATTTCAAGAAATTTCAGAAAAATCTCGCCAGATTGTTTTTGCCGATCCAAAAACGAATCTAGAGCAGTACAAATGACTGTTCCATCTCTTAAGAAAGAAAACTAGATAGGTTTGTAAAAACGTTGATACACTTTAAGCTTCGTTGGTAAATAAATTTTTAATCATGTTATATGTGATCAGGCTCTAAATAATAGATCTAAACTCAGTTTTATGAGCTGAATTAGGCAAAGGAACCGCAGGGTTCCCAAAATGAAAATAGAAAAAATTATTCAAATTTTACGCGCTGGAGCGGTTTTTTAAATTTAGGAATCTTTCCGTATTTTTGAATTTTCTCATTGAAAACATTAGTTCGAAAGCTTAAGCTGGTCACAGTTAATATTTTTAGTTATCTAAACTTCGTGTGCTTCAACCTTCTAACAGAAATTCCTTTCTTCATCTTCTTAGAGATGAATCTTCGAGCAAAGAAAAATATTGATTATATTCGACTAATAGCAGAGAGATAGTTCTTCAACAACAACAATCTCAACTCATCAAAAGGATAAAAAAACCAAACAAGTGGCAACGCGATCGGATGACCAATGGAGAAAAAAACTAAAATATCATCGTGAACAATGTATGTTCAACAACATCAAATCAACAGTTCAATTAATGGTAGCAAAAGCCTCGTATAATACATAGTAGAGGTATAACATAATGGAGATATCGAGAAGGACTGTAGCCTAGCTAATCAGCACAATACACTTACTGTTCTACTACTCCTAACTAGGTGAACTTGCTAACTATCATCGAAAAATGGTACTAATTGTGTGTCATGATTTCTACTTACTATATTATTTCTTATTCTTCGTCAAAACATTTTCACTTGACGATCTATAACATTTTACTTTCCGATAGAAACACAAATCCAAAAGTGCTTTCAATAATACGAGAAAATAGAACAAACATTCCTGATCAAAATGAGATATCTCCCACCCAGGTCAAACGGGACGGTACGTTAACGAACAGTTAACGATCAGTTTACGGCCATCTAAAAAACGGCTCGTTAACGGTGTGAAAACGACATAAAAACGTTTTGTTAACGTCACAGTAAACTGGTCGTTTCAAGAGCGTCAGCGCACGGTCTAAATACGGACCGTTTATTGGTGACTTTATTTCGCTTTCACTACTAGTATAAATGGAATCAGTTTTTTACTTTCGTTTCTTTGTATAAAAGGGTATTCTCAAAATTTACATATAAGAATGGGAAAAAGCAAACGAACTCGAGTCAGCATATATTAAAGAGATCCACCAAATTTAAATATGTACGTCAGAAATATATTCTTATGATACTCAAATCAGCTCTCTGTGTTATAAAGTCTATCACAATAAAAATGAAATAGCAGAGATATTCGTAGTCGATTTATCATATTTCGAGAGCTCCAGAAATGTCTCTCTGAGATGTTCAATGAAGTTCTCTTTGTTTTGTTCTGGAGAATATTTTCATCAATGTTATACACAGTTTGAGGTCGTCCTGTAACAATCTCAAAAACTTAGTACAACGAATGTTCCAATATTTTCATATTTTTGAAGTTCTATTGAGAAACTAAGGTTCTCGATATTCACATAATATGTTGAAATGTTTGCTAGCTTTAACCACGAAAAGTTTTCATATCCTATAACCTTATCTATCTGAGACGAAAATCAAAAAGATCATGCAACTCAGTGCACTTTTACGAACAAAAATGTCATAAAATATGAAACAACTTACTTTATTTCTCACAATGGATCCTATGTATGATGTCTTTTTTGTATTATTAATACCTAAAGACGAGCTAAAGAAATCATTTTACAATGAAGTAGTGAATGCAAAACTTGAAGGAAGTATATAGTTTTCGTTTAGTTGTCTGTTTGAAATTGCTAGTGAGTAAGCATGGAAAAGCACATTTATACTTCGTGTGTATACGGTCAAAATCAAAATAAAACATATCGTTTTCACACACATAATGGCACAAATACGTCACTCTGCAGGCATTTTATTATAAACAATTAATGTTCACGGTAGTTCTTCTAGTCAAAATTATCATAGTGTTCCATGTATTCGCAAGAAGCCTGTCTTTTCAAGTAGCTCTGATGTTGGCATCCATGATAAATAATCTGTCTGTCTACGCTTTCGTCCTTAAGCCTATTGTGCATATTCTCAGCCATTCGAATCAATGTCCGAATCATTCCCTTCTCGTCGTCAGAGCTCTCAGCATCTTTGAGCAGCACGATTTGTTGAGTGTACGTGGAAACTAACGCCTTTTATTACTTTCTCTCGTTTTTTTCGTTCTGAATATATATGTTTTTCTTTGCATTTTCTCTTTTTCTATTTTATCGTGTGAACGAACAGAAAGACAAAAAGAATATCCATCTAAGCTTGTATCAAGCACTGCTGTTACTTCAGTTCAGTATACTTGTTCAAAATAGAGCAGATATAAAATATCAATTATATTAAATCCGAGAGAAACAAGCAAGACTGATACTACAAGACCGCTACAATTACTTGTGTAGAAATCATTTGTGTGCTCTCGCGGGGCACAAAAAGTAGATTGTTAACTCCTTTTCGTAGTAGGCAACATCGTTACACCAGCAGGTTGAACAGAAGGAAAATTTGAACAGAATCGCCTGATTTTTAGATGTCAAGACACTAGCCTGGTCCAATTTACACAAACGCGTTTTAAAAGTAACTGAATCTTAGTAAATCATTTTTCGTCCGGTTTAGAAGAAAATAGTATACATATTCGGGTCCGTTCTTGCACGTAGATTCCAAATCTGCGATCCGTTTTTTTGGTGCAAAGTCTACTTTTCGAGAGATGAGCGAAAAACTGGTTTTGCGTGGAAATTACTGCTGTTTCTCCACTTTCCCCATACTTTGTATTTGTGCCATTATATGTGTGAAAACGATATGTTTTATTTTGATTTTGACCGTATACACACGAAGTATAAATATGCTTTTCCATGCTTATTCACTAGCAATTTTCGCTTGTTGAACAGTCAAAATGCTGTCATGGGTCTATTCCTCTTTCTTTTGCTCTTCTATATTTACTCAACGGAAGTTCTTTTCTTTTTCTTCTTTTTACAAATAAAACTTAGACTGACAGGTCACTTCTAACTACATTTGGTAGGAATTATATTGGCACGTAACATATTTCAACAACTGTTGTAATATTCAAGTATTACTTTTTCAGAAAAAAATCTTAATATCATTGTTAGCGATACCACGTTTTTTCTGTGACCTTTTAATTTGTTTCTATTATTTTCTCTGGAGTATAACCACGGCGGAAAAAGCAGACTCTTGGACTCCTGAAGTCTAGAAGTTCATAGAAGTGTTGCTATTGTATTTAATTATTATTGTGCTGACATAGTACTGAATAACTACAAAGTTTGAGCTCGATATCCTTTATTTTGACTAAGAAACCGTAATTTAGAAACACAATTATTTCCTATTGCATCAATTTCTAGCATGGTTGATATTTTAACATCAGAACAAATCTTCAAAATAAAAAGAAACACATATAAAATTATTCATGATTGTGTATTTGGTTACCATCCTGATTCATTAGTTATTTTAATCATGCTGATATTTTATCCATTATTCATTGATATAAAGAAACTCTATAATTCTTTAGTTTGTCTTTAAAGTCGTTTTCAGTTGTTCAATCTTGGATTTACTGTACAAATGATATAATCCCAGTCTGTGGTCGCTGAAGAGTTGTTTGGCAAAAGCCTTTTCATTTTTTGTTCGTAAACGACTTTGAGAATTGGCTTTCTAGATGTAGAGATTTTTCGCGTTCATTTATACCAGAATTCTTGATTCACCTCATGCCCGTCTACGTGGTTCTGGAAACGCCCCACTTGGGGCGAATCAAGAATATCATTTTATTACTCTAGTTTAAACCGTCAAACGGATCTCAGTCAGTTCTTATCGAACAATTCGGAATTTGCTTTCAACGTGTTCCTGAGACGATAAGGGGTCCAGTGGTGTGAAAATCTACTCAATTAGTACTAATTATCCCTAAGATAATTGGATTTTACAAAAGTTAAAAAATCCGGTTTATTTTAACGAGTGTTCTTGATTTACCCCACTCAGAGCTATCTGTTTTCTTGAATCACTCCAAGGGGGGCGAACCAGTAAAACCACTGGAAGTCCGATACTTTGAAGCATTTTAAGTCGATTTTTCACAAGTGTATCAATGAGAGTCTTGTCTGTATGACTGCCAACGCACGCAAAAACATCTCTAAGATTAAAAAAGGTATTCAACAAATACTGGCATGATCGCGAAATTGTTCTTGATTCGCCCTACACCACTCTCTAAACTGCAAAATATTCGAGTATGAATTAGTCTCCACACCACTTTAAGAAAATATGAAGTGTTTCGTACATAACGTACACTGAGTTTTTTTGTATCACACGTAAAATGAGAATAACAAAAACACATCTTCAATCCTACACGTGTCTACTATATATGATATAAACAAATGCGAACTCTATTTCTATATACCAAATATATAAATGCTCACTTTAGAATAACAGAAAAAGAATTATTTTGCGTTCTTGTAATTCAAAAGATTACTCACTATATTCAACAAAAATCCGGTACATGGCGTGAGCCGCGTTGCGAATTTTAAAACTCGTTTACGTTAATTGATCCTTAACAGTTTTTGATCCTGAAGCCAGCCGTGGAACCATAACTGTCGACGCATCTGCTAGATTGTTCTGCATGCAGTAGCCACAGTTATTGTCGCGATACGAGTCGCGGAAGCGGGAGTCGTGTCGCGAAATAGCGATCGCGATAAGAGAAAACTATACTGAATTCTTAAGAACCTATGCAGACTTTAGAGTCTTACCGCGAGTATACAGAGATCGCGCCGTGACTTCGCGACATCATAGCGAGCGCGACGTGATTACATATCACGCAGTGAATCGTAAAGAAAACTTTTTTTCGAAAGTAAGATTTGATCAAGATCACGCTACGAGTTTAAGAATAGAACGCGATCGCGACGCGAATACCGAATTTCATCGCAACCGCGCCGCGGCGTGCGGGATATCATAGCGATCGCGGTAGTGACAGCACGACTGCGCCGCAAATGAGTCGCGAGAGTGAATTTGGGGTGTCCCCTCCAGGAACTCGTAAAAAATTGTGTTGTAAAACAATGGAGGATTTTTTTTCGAAAGTACCCCGATTCAAAACTTGTTGCGTACAAGGTAATCAACTATGAAGAGTCCGAATCTGCTATCAGTTTCGGCCGAACATGCTTTTAAAATTTCTCGACTGAATTGATATGACAGACCTTGAAAAATGAAGTTTACTTGGCGCCAGACGGATCTAGCTGAAATATTGGGAAATAAATAACGACCATTACCTGAAGATTTTCTGAAAGTTTTATTTTTGAAGTTTCGATGATTGTAAAGATGTTTATTTTTATACATGGCATCAAGTGAGCAACGTTTATTCTCGTTGAATATGGCACTTGAACTAAAGTAGTTGTTTCAGAGAGAAGACAGTATCTTGCATGACTCCTAATGGTTTAAAGCATATTTGTAGACTTATTTGCTTGTAGTTTTGAGGAAATTTTGAGTAACGATATCCCTCCTTCGTTGCTTGGTTACAGAACAGAAATCACGTCGAATGACGGTTCTACAAAGTATTGACAAAGAAAGGATAAAATATAGTTCAACTATAGAGATCAAACATACCACTTTTATTTTTACTTGATTTTTGATCTCGCCGCTTTTCATTCTTCTTATATGCACATGGCCATAGAATAAAAAATAGAATAAAAAACAAGATCAGAATAAATTTTATATTTTTCATGAAAATATTCATCCATCTTCCCATGCAGATGAAAAAAGTCGTTCGAGGGTTGCGGCGGGTACTCGAAAATAGACCCTCGCCGAGGGCTCGACCCCTCGGAAAATGGTACTTCGGATTCTCGATATAAACTTTCGTGGGGTATCGATTTCGAGCCCTCGGATTTCAGATAGGTGGTGAGCCCTCTAGAAAAATTTTAAGCCGTCGAATACAGATGTTCGGGACTTCCGAGCCCTCGTCGACCATCGGGTGCGATATTCGGGACTTCCGAGCCCTCGCTCTCTCGAGGGTGCGATGAGGACTCGATAGTCCCCGGAATCCGACGAGGGCTCGGAAATACCCCTCGAAAGCTTATATCGAGGGTCTGAAGTGCCATTTTCCGGTGGCTCGAGTCCTCGGCGTTGGCCCATCGAAAGCATATTTCCAAGAAGACGCGTAGACGAACTATCATATTCTCATTTACAAAGTGCAGAAAGTTTTAATTTAATTTAAGCATAAACGTACCAAAAATGTATGATATGTAGGTTATATGAAGGAAGAAGAAACTAGTAACATGAAAAAAATAAAATCTCTATAAAAAATTATGTTCATTGCTGCTTTAAATTCATCTGAATAGTTTGTATCGTCGAACAAATTAGTACTAAAATTAGAATTAATGTCATTGAAGAATGCTCGAATTTCATTTGGAGCTAATACAACATAATATTGTTGAAAATCGCTTTTTAATTGTTCTAATATGGGTTATTCGTAGATCGAAAATAATCTGTTGTAGTTAAGTCGTTGTATTTTTCCGGCACCTTTTAAATAGAAATATGACAGTTCATCTTCGTCTTTTTTTTGAAATTCGAACATATGATCACATAATACGTCCATACACGGTGTTACATATGAGTAACAATATAATTTAAAACTGTTTCTTATATAACTGCCTTGTTTTGTATTTATCTTGAAGGGAAATGTATGATGAATCACTCGTAATCGTCGGAATTGGAATGACTTTTCGTATTGTAACAAGAAAAACAAAGTTTAAGTTTTCGACATTTTTCGACTGAACCACCAGAAGTCAGGTTTTGAACCGGAATCCTTGCTTGAAACTGACTTCGCTGTACACTGGGAGAAAGAGGACACTTGATTGTACCCACAGACTTCCTCTGATACATTTCTGTATTCATATTTACGCTACCGTGTAAAATAATTCAAAACAAAGAAACCTCTGGAAACTCGGCTGTGTTGGAGCTTCGCAGTACTATTTGTCCAAATTTTCTCATTTTAACTTTGAATGGGTGGTTTTTATATATTCTTGTTGAGAATTGAACAGAAAATCTTTTGAGACTAAGCACACATTTTTACGATGGAAGCTGACCGAGAAAAACACGAAATACAAAAGGTGACATTCTTTATGCCGCACTCGTTAACTACAACAAATGTATTCTTTACATCTGAAATCTATTCACTTTCAATGTAATCAACATTCTGTATGTTTTTTTACATCCGAGTAAATTAGAAATTTAGCTTTTTAATGTTGTTAAAAATATGCTTACATTTATTATTTTAGTAGTTTTATGGTCAGGTCATATCTATACACAATCATATTAAATATTTGTAATGTTATAGGATGTAACTAAGTGTAAGATGTTCTTTTCTTTTTCATCCACTTATTTACTTTCGAGTCTATCACCATAAGACATCATAATATCTACGGAATTCCGTTTTGAGAGATTTTGTACACTTGTAAGCTCGAAAAGAAGTTATTTCCTATCTTAAATATTGATCTTCATTATTTGAATACTGTTCTGTTGTTTCATTAGAATATGTATTTTTTATCATTCGTGTTGGTAATGATACCTATTGTCAAATTTTCTACAAAATTTGTCTAAAAATAACATAAATTTGAATGAAATTATGAAATACGGACTTTTGTAGGTTTTTTGATTCATCAAAAAAATGATCAATTAGATGAAGTAGTTTATGTGTATCAAGAAACACGTCAAGAAAATATTAAGAAGATTTACATGATAAAAAAGATCATACACGTGTATTTCGAGTATCAGTTATACGTGAAAAATATGGTGAACTTGTCCAAATGGCAAAAATGCAGTCATTAGCATTTAGTAATTTTTTACTCGTATTAAGACCCTTTATAATAGGTACATACTTATCAGATGAAATTGGACAAGGTTTTGAGTTATTAGACACGGATAAATCGGATACAATAGATGTGGAAGAATTAACTGCATTTTTACCCGTTATTAATCCCTATTTAACGGCTGTTATGTTATTAAGATATTTTAGTCATATCGATGAAAATTTTGATTATAAATTGAATTTAAACGTGCTTTTATGATTTATTGTCACGTGGTAAACGAACATTTTTTTTATCATGAAATTATTTTTAAACTAATCCATGTAACTGCTATCATTGATTTACATCCACCTTCACCATATTTGAATAGTCATCTTGGACAAGATGCTGTTTGTAGTCACATCTACTAATTTGTGATATTCAATCATGACAAAACTTGCAAAGAACTTTGATTTATAATCTTATCTCACTTACTATATTAGACAACGTCTACTCAATAGAAATTGAAGCATTACTTAGTTTTTCCGATTCAATTATCATAAATTAGAGAAACACAACAATCTTTTCTTATGTTATCATCTTCTCAAAATGTAATTCTCATTTATTTTAGCAATTACAAAATTAGATTAATCTACAAATATGTGTAGATTTTGTACAACTCAATCGTGATGATTTTTGTCAGACAGTACATAAGTAATGCTGAACAATTATTAACATTTTATCGATCATCATACGCTCCTATTATTTGTGATGATGATTCAACATCAAAACAAATTTAAAAAGGTATTTTTCAAATCATTATTCTGTAAAATTTATCATTTTGCATTTTATCGCATTTGTCTCAGTTATAGAAATTGGCGTTAAAAGTAATCCTAGATGATAGACAATATTGTTATATATAGAACTCTATGTATTATACAATCTTTTCATATAGACAAGGACTTGGAAGAGAAAATTATCTAAATTTCTTTAAGGCTATCTAATCATTTTCTTGAATTGTGTTTTTATATAATGTTGTTAGTTGACAGTAAAATATCGTAGAGAACTTTCAGACATCCTCCTGATTAGGAAAACAGAACCATGATCAGACTTTCCTATGATAGAATCTGATTTTTCAGGAAACTGACCATCTAACTAGATAACTACTCAATAAAACACGAACTGAAACATAATATTTACTTATATGAGGAAATACACATATTTCCAAGCAGTTCTTTTTTCTTTAACACTTATCTAGAATAATATGAAGATATAAAAATGATACTTCTGAAATCTGTACTTGGTAATAAAAATTATAGTAATTATGCATATGTTAATAGTGAACTAGTTACTTTCGAGCAGTCAAATCTTTCCATCCGTTGTAAGAGAAAAGAAGAGAAAGAAAGAGCGAGAGAGAGATGAAAAGAAATAACCAAATGAAACAAACTATCAGGAAAATAGAAAAATACAACGAACATCCAAATGAGGTTATAGTTACCTAAGAGATATTTTTTCTGTGAAAGAATCTCAAAAATAGAAACAGTCTATCAAAAGACGTTTTTCAGAGACGTTTTTAACATTAAAAATGTAGAAAAAAGATGTGTCTGAATATGTAAGAAGTACAGTGTACATTAAAAAAAAGAAATTGTTCCTGGAAAAATGTTATTAATGATAAATATAAACAATAATTATTCTTTTTGGGTTTCAGGAACCTAATCAGTATGTCTGAAAGTTTCTCTAAGGCAGCTTCTTTTTTCAAATACATTATTCTATATCTTATGTATGTCTTTTCTAATATCGATTTCGCCTTATTTCACTATAGCATTAATCGATTAGACAATATTTGATCGTGAAAAGTTATTTCTACTATTTTTTTTTCATTTATTTTTTGGAAAATAACATTTTGACAAGTACTATCAAATAGTCAAGTAAACTAATTTCCGAAAAACAACAGTATCCTCGGGTGTTTTTCTTTGTCATTTACCCTATAACACCGTTTAGTCAGATTTATTTATTGACTATGAGTAGAAAACATCATATTAACCCGGTCACTTTTCAAAGTTCTACCGTGAATATACATATTTTTGTGTTTCCTATTCTAAAAGATTTTACAGGCACATAATTTTTTGCACATTTTCCATCCTTTATTCGTATATATTTCAATGTTCAAACAATCTAGAAAAAATAATACCTAGATGTAGGCATCTTTATGATAATGGAGTTGGCGTCCACTCGGAAATAAGAAATTTAACACTCTGTCTACTCATTGCCACTTTTCCAATAAACTTTTTAAATAAATTTTCAACTAAGAGTAATTGTTTTATGAAACGTTCAATACTCTTAAAATGTAATTGACTTTAAAAATTATTCTATTGTATCATTACTTTTTCAGTTCATGAAACAGATGTGAATGTTTACGACTAATCAGTCGTGAAAAGATTGTATTGCTTTCTATCTTTGACAACCGTTTTTTTCTCCTCCATTACCCATTTAGTTTACATGCCACTAATATGACACAATGGATGTGAAACATAGTGAAATATGGCTACCAATGCATAGTCCGAATCAACTAAATACTGAGAACATCTCTCATATTGAATTTTTTCACTTAAGTTTTATTCTATATTGAAAAATTTATTGTTATCCTTTTGTTTTTACAAATAACTGATTGAGACAAAGTAACTTGTGTCAGTAAAATATTTGATCTATCTAAAAATATGGTATTCAAATATTTGTTAATATCAGTTTTTAGTAGTTATTGACACTGCATTAACACACTATTTCAATGTCAAAAACATTTATTTGGTCAATATTTCAAACACTTGTCTCGTTCACGGATAATTACTGTTGATGAATTTTTAAAGTTTGAGTTAATTGACATCAGTAAATTGATAAATGATAGAAATAATTTTCTGTCATTTATTATGGAAGACGAGACACATTATACAACGAGTAGATATAAGAAGAAAAAAAAAAACAGAAATAATAATTACATTCTTGAGAGATTGTTCGAAATACGATGGAGGTTCCCACATTTTATGCATCGTTTGACTGTAATTCTATCAAAAATTCTCTCTGCTGTTTTTTTGTTTTCTTTTGATTCTTTCTGATACAAGAAGACATCAAATTTTTTTGTATGAATCAATTGAAAAATAGTGTATAGAGATGGTCACAGAAGAAGAAACAAAATATCGGGAATATAAGACTTCCGGAATATTATTTCTTTCTCTCGCTCTCGCATTTTTTTCTTTCAATGTTAATGATTCTATATGTGTGGTAAAAAAACCGACTATAGTTGTTTCCATAGCATATTATTATATTTTGTCGTACTCTCATATACACAGAACATTTTTTTTTTTGTTACACTAAACCAATATGCTCCTATATCTCTGTAAGACTTGTTAGTTATTCAATACGTATTGGAGAAAAAGAATTATTTGTTGTCTACTTTTTCCAAATTGATTGATTAACTGATTATAATGTTGCATTTATATCCATCGATACCAACAGTACTAAAAGAGAAAAAACTCTAGATAGCAATGGTGTGTATTGTTTTAGAAAGACAATTTACGTAAGTACACCTGATGATACAGACTCATCTGAATAATTTAGACAGGTAATTATTTTGGTAAAAAAGCTTGTCTGAGACTTCCTATAGCAAATGTAAACGATCTTAGTTTTTATCAACAACAAGAAGAAACTCATTTTTCAAAAAAAATGGGCTTTTACTTTTTTATTTTAGGGTGCCGGAAATTTGAAAATTCAGCAGGTTTTTATTTTTTTGCATTTTTATACATGATTGGATAGAACTTGCCGATCCGAAGAAGAAACTATGTGTTTTAATGTTTCAAAAACTTTTTCATATCGAAAAATTGAAAAAGTTCGAAGATCCTAAAATTTCGAAAAATTCTTCAGTTTCAAAAAACTCAAATGTTTTTCTTCTTTGTAGTTCTAACTTTTTGGAAGTGCTTTTTCATATTCACCATCAGAAACTGAGTATAAGAATGATACTTGATAGAGGTTGAAGGCAATGGTCTATCTAGTATGGATCTTGAACTTCCTCCGTAAAAAGTTCCTAAAGAGTTTTGCAAATCTAACTAATTCTTTTGTGAAGAGATGGAACCGACTTTTCTATTTTATTAGAACTGCTACTGAACGCGTTTTAAAAGTACGGATCGCTGTTTTTCATTTGCTGTTTCATTATTTTTAGAATAGGAGCGAAACAATTGGAATTAGAATCAATTTTCTCCATCAGCAGTCATTTTTTATAGCAAAAGCTCTCACACCCGCATATATTATAGATAACTTGTCTGAGCGCGTGTATGACGATTATGTACTTTCGACGAATAGACTTGATACCCACCTCCATCTGAACTTTCTATTTTCCTTCTAGATTATTCATTATTCCGATCTTTTCTAATTTTATTCATAATTAAAATAGAGGTGAACATAATTTTTCGATGAAAAAACATTAGTTGAATTGAATTTATTTAAGTTTGAAAACGAGCACTCTTAGAATCATTCGAATAAGACGATCATCATTTATCATTTTTTTCTATTGTCAATTGAAATGACAGATACAGTCATGCCTGACATTATACAAATGAGCCCTTCTGGTTAGCAATACTGTGTGATCGTGTATAGAAATGTTCTTTTTACATTGATTATCCCATTTAAATTTTTTCTACTATTATGACAATAGAATTTTTCTTGACAAAGTTTTATTTTCTCTCAATTTCATACGCGCATATACATGAATAATATATCACGTATATAAATTATTATTAATAATTTGATTTAGTCTTATATGTGATGTTTGATGTTAATAATAATCATATCGTATTCATCGCAATAAACAGAGATGGCATACTTTACGATTTTAGTTAATGACTTTTCAGTTTGTGAAAGGAAAAATAATAAGTCACATGTCTAATTTTATTTCCACTTGAAAATTTTTTAGAACATTGTAAGATAGAAATATAAATGTTTTTTAATGATAATGAGGTGGGTTATGAATGATAGATAGAAGTGTGAAGTATATGTCATGGGTGTTTCTGTTGTTGTTTTGTTCGATATAGCAAAGTAACCAAACACTGACAACTTTTCTTTTTTTTTCGCTATTTTTTGTTTCAAGAATATAAAAAAAAGACACTTTTCATTATTTCTCTTGTTTGATAGTGTAGATTGTATCTAATGGAACATAAAAATTGAAGAAGAAAAAAAAAAAAAAAAACAAATTGTTGTTGCAGCAGATGTATACATATTTTTCCAATGAATGATAT